GACAGAATAGGACAACCATAGGAGTAACCTTAAAGTAAGGAATTATAAAATATGTTCAGAAAACATATAGGCAGATTTGTTGGAACAATCTGGCTGACCACAATAAGCCTACTTCATTTCCCTTTTGTTTTGATCAAACCAAATCAGCTTTGTCCAACTGTCTTTAGACTACCTAAAATAAATCAATCAATTTTACCTACCTGTAATCAACACTTGATACTAAAAACAATCACTTGCAATGAATCACTAGTAGTTCGCAGAAATCAGTGGCAGGTTCCACACTTTACTGACATATGCCGCTCAAGCCAGCATGTGCAAGTGCCGTGTTGTGTCTTTTTTTTCCTGAGCAAGTGGCAAATGCCACATGCCTTTCTAGATAATGCTCTTGCCGGAGCATTGGCTCATATAAGTCACTTTGGCTACATATTTAAGCATATTACCTAGATGGACCCCTAGATGTTCCACAGTTTTTCTTCATTCCGATATGTTGTGAGTTAGTTTGGAGCAAACATATGGACTGTCTGAGGACCAGATAAAAAAACACTGACCTAGATAGTTGCGTTGCTAGCCTGTGGTAAAACCTTTAATTCAGTGAGCTGCTAAACAAAAGGTGTTAGCGAAATAAAAACACATGGTATACTTTGAGTTTGCAAAATATGCACCAATCAGCCATTACCTTAAAACTAACTCCTTGTTTTTACACTCATTGTTCATTTTATCGGTTCAATTTACCATATAGGTGCACTTTGTAGTTTTACAATTACAAACTGTAGTCCATCACTTTCTCTGCATACTTTATCATCCTTTTACCCTTTTCTTCAATGGTCAGGACTCCCACAGTACCAACACAGAGCAGGTATGATTTGGGTGGTGGATCATTCTCGGCACTGCAGTAACACTGACGTGCTGGTGGCGTTTTAGTGTGTTGCAGAATGGGTGAATATTACGGCCGATCAAGACAAACATATATTGCATTCATAGTAGCGTTTTAAACATATTTTCTTCATGTGCCATATTTTACACATGGCTTAAACATAAATCATTACAGTGGTGATTTAATTGAGAAAAATCTGTCATGTTCTAATTTCAATCAGCATATTTAATTCTATTCTACTATTGTCTGTTCCACTGGAGACTTGAATACGCAAGTGGCATGTTACACTTTATTTCTTTCAATCAGTGAATAGGCAAGGGCTCATGTTTACTGGTATGGAGGCATGCGGTGCACTCACTGATGTCACGCACACACTGTACATGTGATACTGTCTGTTATTACATCAACTTTCAATAAAATGGTGATGTCCTCTGCTGTGAAGCCTCGTTTGCTTTGGTGCTGTGATCACGCCTGTGCAGTGCGCAGTGGAACAGGCAATTTTACATGCTCCCTCACCTGAGAGAAATCTCTCAAGGATTCCAATTAGGTAAATAATTCACTGCTAAGTAAAGAAGCACAGAAATGACAGTGTTTGTTTTGTTTGTGCCACACAAACCAGAAGCATGCACATTTTTGTCACGTCTTGGCATATTTTTTCCTCTGCATCATGCGGACGACAATTAGGCAACAATTAGGTTCTTTTTTCTTTTTTATAAGTTTGTGTCTCCATCAGCTTGTCTTCCTGAACAGAAACAGCATCCAGAGATTTGAAAACAATTTTTCTTCATTTCGTTTCATTCTGAAGCTATGCTTTTCGTTCATGCTCCAGCATTCTGTGCCCCCTACTAGAGCTGAATGATCTGCGGAAAATATGTAATTCCAATGTTTCTGACCAGTATTGCGTTTGTGATTTAAACCCAGACCCAAATGCATAGCAGGTGGCTTGAAAAATGTACACCAAAATGTTGTCAGTCTGAAGTCTTGAGACAAATTTAACTGTATGTTTTTAAATCAGCTGATGTTATTAGCCTAGCTGTGTTGTATTTCACCTCATACCTTTAAGCAAAAAAGCAAGTTTATGAAGAGTTGCTGATACCAAATGTGTAAGCTAATGTGCATGTCTAACATTTCTACTTTACTGTTCGATTTTGTAAACCTCCATGATTAATCAAACATTTAAAAATTCTGTCTCATCCCTAGTTAAGAAAATTTTGAATAATTTTGTATGTAATTAAAATTGCAGCTCTTGTGATTTGAAAATTGCACTTTTTAAAATTGCAATTTCAATATCAAAATGATTAATTGTTCAGCCCTAGACCTTCTCCATTTGGTAACAAGCTAGAATGAAATAAAAGAATGCTTTTCTGACATAGCATACTGTGCAAATATAAGGCATGTTGAAATAACATTATTTTAATCACTGTTGAAGGGGGTGCTTTTACAGCTTAGCTGAAACCAGATTTTCACATTACAAGCATTACATAATTTAATTTTTTTCACTGTTAAGGGAAATTCAAGCAATTTTTAAGGATTTATGCATAATTCAACCGTTATGATATAAACAAAGTCATTCAGAGTAGTTCAATGTGAAATGTTCATTGTAGATAAATGTGATGGACAGAGTGACCATCACAGAAATCTGAGTTGGTAACAGGAACCAGGGGTCACAATTTCTACGACACAAATATTTATTTTTTGGGTACTATTTTTCCTTACAACACCCTGCATGTACTTCTCCATAATGAATGAAGTAAAAAGTAGTAGTAAAAATAGTTTTAAGCCAAACCCTTCTCAAAATGAAATCTTAATCCTAACTTTCTCTTGAATGGCGTGCTTCACATCAAAGCACTGAATGACTTTGTTCACATCTTAACAGTTTAATAATGCAGAAATTTAGAAAATGGGCAAATTTCTCCTTAATTGATTTAAATCACCAAGAGTGCCATTCTGCATTAAACACAGTAGTAGTATTGCTTTAAATGAGTGTGTCCTTACATTTTGTTTATGTTAAGGTGATAAATTTGTGGTAGGCTGTAAGTGTTTTAGCCATGTTGCAGCTGTGTGAGGATGTGAGTCCTGAGACAGAGCATTAAATGAGCAATGGCAAGCTCAGCCCTCATGAGGAAACTAATCTGACAGCACTGATCTCCCCCTCATATACCATGTCATAAGCAACTTTCATGCATTTTCATGATTGGTAAAGCTAGATCACTATTAGAAGTTTATGCCCTAGCCAAACACTAGTGCCGAAGTGTATGGTTACAGTGGTGCAAATGGCTCACACACACACTCACACACACCTGTTGATTATAGGTGCACTGAGTCAGTCATATGCTGTCATGTGATGGATAGAGTGACTCTATGTATAGAGTCTTCAGAATCAGAAGCTTTAAACATGGTCATCACAAACATGGGAATAGAGCTGCCTGCCATCAAACCTCATCTTACCTTATGTCATCTCACATTATGCGCAGTGCAGCATTAGTGATTACTTATTAAGGGACATTTACAACTATTTCAATGCTCGGCTCTCAGGGCTAGATGCACTTAGGGCCGCAACGATCACCGCAGCATTGTGATAGTATTATGGAAATCACAGTCTTGGGCACATCAGTGCCATAACCACATATATTTCTGTCTTTTTATTTATTTTTTGTTTTGTTTTCTTTTTCCATGAGGGTGCAGCTAAATGAAGCATATTTTAAGGAACCCCTGCATTTCTGCATTTTAAGGAATCCCTGCATTTCTCCATCACCACGGATGCTTAGAATGTTAATGTCATGATAGGCAATTTTAAGCTTTATGTCTATTTTTTGCTACTTGCTGTGAATGGCTGCCCCTAATAGCATGTATACGCTCAGTATGTTCTGAAACGTGCTTTGCTGGCGTACAGCATCACTTGTGGCAAAATACTCTTACACAGAATACATGTTCTGAATATTTGCCAACTGAACAACACTATCTCAACTCCCTCCAATTTCATAAGACTCATAAGGCTTAGACTTTCCATGTTCTTGAGTAGAATTATGTTCCTGTTGAATGTTTTTAGAAATTTTAACACTGCTGTCACTGAACTTGCATTTTCTCTTTTGTCGTGAACTTGTTGATGGCTCCACTATTTAGTGCGTTTTAACCCCTTTATCTCACAAGCGTAATACAGTCAGCAGGCAGTGCTTTGCACGGTATGTGTGATTAGCTACAGCCTTAGTAAATTAATTTTAGTTGCACTGGGAGAGCATATTGTGACTGCATCAGGGTTTTTGCGTTGCACCTTCTTAAGTACATGCTTGCCCTCAGTCTTATTCTCTTTCTCCTCCTCTTTCTAAATCTCTAGTTATTTTGATCTCATTCTCTGTCACAATATTGTGACTCTCCATTGATGGCTGTTTAATTTGATATGATGGTGTGTGTCTATATGTGTCTGTTTATTTTTCAGAAATTTTCAGGACAAAATGTTCTGACTTTTTTAGAAAAAGCAGAGACAAACAGTGCTAATCCACAGTTCCACCAAATTGATCCTGACTTTGAAAAATGCTTTTACAAAAGTTCCCTGTTTCTTTTTTTTTAACTGAAAGGATAAAAAGCATTTCTTTGTTGTTCTTTTTTAATAAAAGTGGTCCCACTGTATATCATAAAAATATTGAAAGTGGTCTAGTGTGTTTTGGAATCCCCCCCAGTATATTTGAAGGGTTTCTTTCCAAAACATATGGCCAGATTAAATGTTTTTTTGATTTTCAACATGGAAATAAGTATTTATCCTTTATAGAGAACACACTTCTGCATATTTTACACACGATTTAGCACAATTACTTTTTATTTGCTGAATTTAACATATTGGTGGAATAGGCTTATAAAACACAAAGTGAGTGTGTACAGAAGTTATGGCTACTTGTATATTTTATGTTTTTTGTTATACTCCGCAAATAAATAGAAATTGTCGACTAACACTTGCAGAAAAATGCCGTATTTAAGCTTGTTCTCTATAAAGGATGTGTACTTATTTTTACTTTGAAAATCAACAAAGCATAACAGTTTGTTTGGTGGTATTCAAACTTTTGCATACAACTGTATATATACATACTGCATATATGACCCCACATACTAACAAATGTGTGGGTCTTCGCAGGATGCCAAGTTTGTGGAGGAGAGAAGGAAGCAGCTGCAGGGTTACCTGCGCATGGTGATGAACAAGCTGATCCAGACACTGCCCGAGTTCACAGCCCGACCCACCAAAGAGACGCTGCTGCAGCTGCTGCCTTTCTGCCAGTGAGTGCACACACATACACACACACACACACATACACACACATGCATACACACATACTTAGTATTTGTTTGTAGCATCCTGCTTGAGTACTTGTTAATTCTGATACTTTTTTCTTTTAAGTTAAATAATGTTTAATATTTTAATGTCGGAGTGTCTCTGTCATATTAATATGATTCCATCATTTATAATTTACTGTGTCTGTAATCGTCCTGTTTATATATAAACCCTGTATTAAGGATCTGTCATTTTTCCTCAGTTTCCTCATTGGCTAATTCTCCAAGCTATTTTTAGAGCTCAAATTTGGCTCCTCCGTCTATCAGCTTAACTCTCCTTGCAAACGCTGCATATCACTGAATTACTATCAGTCCACTGACTCTCAGCCAGCTCCAATTACAAACAGAAGATTAATGAAAAAAGTCTCCTTACCCTTCATCAAAATGATCAGAATTAATTCAAAGGGAATTCCTGGCACAGATTTACAGATTGCAAGTTAATTTAATGGCTTTCGGGTTGATGTAATTTGTGTAGGGCCAGATGAGGTGTTAATGGTCCGACTGGGGAGTGGAGGAGGTAAGAGAGTCATGAGAGTGTGTGTTAGTGTGAAGACACTGAAATTAGGGGAGAGTTTTGGGTTGTGTGTGTGTGTTTGAGAAACACAGAGTGAGTAGAGGGCGTTCTGCTAAAATGTGAGTCACAACCCACAACAGAAATTCTCCTGTTGCCGTGTAAGTCATGATTCATTTTACTACTGTTGATACTGTATGCAGTGTGTATGTGTTTTTTTTAGAAGCTCCACTTCCATGTAATTACCTTAGGGCTAAACGATTAATTGATTTGAAAAATTTGAAAAAGTTGCAGTTCACAATTTGAAAAAGTTTGACCTGGATTTTTCTGTAAAGTTTGACCTGGATTTTTCTTTGTGACACCTGTTGTAAAAAGCGCTATATAAGTAAACTTTGACTTGACTTGACTTGACTTGACTTGACTTGCAATTGCTGCGATGTTAATTATATCCCACATTATTAAACATTTTCTTAACTAGGGATGATTTTTAGATATTCAAACGGTCATGGAAGTATAAAAAATCAAATAATCAAGTAGAATTTGTATGTGCTAATAGGCCTTTACATTAGGTATCAGCGAACTCTTCATAAAATCATTACTAACTCTGCATCAAAAGTGTATGGTGAAGTATAACGTGGCTAGGCTAATAACATTAGCTGAGGTGAAAACAGGTGGCTAAAATTTGTCTCTCATCTTTAGAATGGCAAATTTCTTGGTGTAAAAGGGATTTACTTGAATTATTTAGGTACAGAATAATTTTAAAAGTACACTGAATACACAAATGTAACTGGAGCAGGACAGTAGTGGATTTTTATTAGAATTATTATTATCAGTTTTACTGTTACTTTTTTCCTCATTATTCCTAACTTTTTAATTTGCCCCCATTGAGTCCAAGTACCTTAATGTTGAGTATTGTTCGATACAATTGTATCCAGTTTTTGTATTTTTTTTAGATAATGCAGCCATATACTTTAGGTAATGATATAGTAGGGTGCTAATTAATACTACAGTAAAATCACTGATTTATCAGGCATAATGTGACATTCTCTACTGATGTATATTGTTTTTTGGCTGACTTTTTTTGAAGTTAAATTGTGTTTAATGTTGATCATGACCCAGTGTTATTGACTTCCCTGATAATTTTGGCTATCATTGTATATTGCACACACTCTGAACTGATTGCTTTTAAGAGTGTGTTTGTATTTTTGACTACAGTAAAGTAATTATTTTATAGTAAATAATAGAAGACGAAATGCAACATTTCTTTTTCATTTCATTTTCTGTTTTGAAGTAGTTCCATACTGCAGACATTTTAATGTCTTGGTAACTTCTGAAAACGTGCCTCACTGCTGCATGTTTGTAGTTATGTTTGGTTATGGCACAGCAGTGGCATGAACGTAGTGCGTAAAGAAACAGGAGATTGCAGTTAAATTGGGTTTATTTCAGCCAGTACCCAATCCATTAAAATATGCCTTTTACTGCCTTTACATTGCTGTAGCTGAGCAAATTTACACTAACCAGATAAACTTGTTTATGTACCTCCAAATAGTCTGTTATGTTTGAACTCTTCTTTCATTATGAATTTTAATTCATTTGGAATTACTTTGTTTCCTTTATTCCATTTCAGCCCCGACATAGTTACATATTCCTGTCTTTACACTGAAAGTGAGTTCAGTCAATCTCTTTACAAATTATTCCACTTTTTCTCAAATGCCATCTTAAATACATGATATGCCCTCTGGTGCATTATGGGTTTGACCTGTCCAGTACAAAGCCAACTGCAGCACTTCTATCACACGTCTTCATTGTTGACCAGTGCAACAGCCTGAAAGAAGCTGTGAGATAGTGGGATCCTATCATCTGCTCTTGTGTTTTCAAGGGGCACTCATGCTGCCAGTGGCTAAATGGCTTTTATGCGACACTGCTCTCCTACTACTGCTAAAGCAGAGAGCACGCCGTCACGCACAGGCTCTGGAGCGAGTGTGTAAGCGAGATCCTTTCATGTGAAAATCTGTTTGCGAGAGACCGTGGAATCCTGGCATCTCCTCCTGACTGTTATCAGCATGGTTCTGATAGAGCTGCTGGAGGAGGAGGGGTGTAATGATGGGGCCAGCTGTGACAGGCTCTTAATAGAATAAAAGACATCTGTAGTAAGGCCTGAGTGATCTGAAAATGTTGTTACCAATACTGATTTCAAGGAGCTAAAATAAATTAGTTAAAAATGATCTGAGATCATTCCATATATGGTCACAGTCTCATAAGTAAGGTTAAAACCATCGAGCAACGGTTAAGAATTTGACAAGACAATCACAAACGTCATATCGCCCAATAGTTGGTTCCTGGAGCCAAAGTACCTGAGGAATTCTTCTGATCTGAAAATATTCACTTACGGCATTTTTTTACGTTATTTTTTTATTTTTACCGTATTTTTACACACCCACACACCCACACACACACACACACACACACACACACACACACACACACACACACTCACATACATATGTAAAACAAGGCACTTATAAGTAACTTTGCTACTGAACCCTAGCAGGAACTACAAAGTGAGTGGAAATTTAAAGTATTAATTCACTTCAACTGTTTTACAAAAGTGCCTCACAAAAAAATGTTTTTATAAATAACATTTAAAGGGACAATTTCAATAGCTGATAAATCCATGGAACCTCAATACTGGCTGATTTTGGAGGCCAAAAATCTAAAGGCTAAAAATCCTGCTCTGTTCCTGACGGTTATGTAATGGCTCAGTGAGGAGCTGCTGTTTAGATTGCAGCTCAGGTCAGCTTTCTCTGTGTGGACACACTGAATCATCTCTGTGTGTGTGTGAGAGAGAGAGAGAGAGAGAGGGAGGGAGAGAAGACAGAGATAAGTGGATAGATTGAATAGTGTCTGTGCGACAGAACCCCACTTACCTGTAGCTAAATTCTGCCTGCTGTTCAACCTTGATTGAAAGCTTCTCAGCAGCAATGCTCTTTCTCAATCTCAAAATTTCTCTGCATCTCTCTTTCTCTCTCTCTCTCCCTCCCTTCTCCCTCTCTCTCTTTTTCTCTATTTTTACCATTTTCTCTATTTTGCTCTCTCTCACTGTCTCTCCCTTTCTTTTTTCCTCCCTCTGTATCTCTCACTCTCTTCAAGTCTCTTTCTCTTTCTTTCAAATTTCACTTTGTTCATTCTCCTTTTTTGTACTTTTTCTTTTATAGATAGAGAGAGAATGACAAAAGAGAGGAAGTCTCACTTCCTATCTCTCCATCTCTCCCTTTTGTGTTTTTTTTCTCACATGCCATTGTCTTGTTTTCTTCCTTTTTCTCCCTCTTGCTATATCTCATTCTCTCTTTCCCTTCCTCTTTTCTTGTTCTATTTTTTTGCTCTTTCCCTCTTCTTCTCCCTTTCTCTTTCTCTCAACTGCTATCTCTCTCTGTCTCTCCCTCTTTCTTTCTCTTTTCCTGTCTCTTTATGACGCTGTTTCAGACTCTGTCACACATTTTCAGACAATCTCATTTAAATATCTCTCTTTTCTCTCTTTCTGTTTTTTTTTCTTTTCTCTTTCTCTCACATTCTGCCTTTTGTAATTCATTTTTCTCTTTTTTCTCTTACTGTCTCTCTTATTCTGTTTTCTTTCTGTCTTTTTTCCATCACTCTTTCTCTCTCTCACCATTTCTTACAGTATATCTCACATTTCTCTTTTTCTTGGTGTTTCTCTCCTTTTCTTTCTTCCTCTCTTTGTCTTTCTCTTTCTCTCTTGCTGTCTCTCTCTCACCATCTCTCTCTCTCTTTGTCTTTGTCTGTCTTTCCTTCAGGCTCTCTTTCCCATACTCTTTGTAAATGTTTCTTCTATTTTAAAATCAGAATCTTTATTCATGGCATGACCATATCCAGTTACATTATTGCCAAGACATCATTAAAAAGGAACAACAAGAATGCACTCTGAGAACCTTCAAAAATATAAAACTGTCATTTGATGATACAAAAAAAATCATCCAAAACATAAAAGAAAGGCAATCAAAGCAATTTAGAGTCGAGGTGGTAAGAAAATGAAGGTGGAAATAAATAAATAAAAATAAATAAGTATTTGAATTAATACATATATGTGTTTGTCAACAGTGCAAAACATTTTTATATATCTTGTATGTGTGTTTGTGCTGTATTTGTTTGGATCACTTACTATCCGTCATATTGTGGCAGGCAGATATATATCACCTTGCTTTAATGCTGCTTTTTTCTGTCCTCATGACAAGATTCACAGTGTGTCAGAAACGATTCAATTTGGGGTGAATCTTTTCAAATTTTAGAAAGTACATTTTGCGTGATTGCTGATTTTCTCTCTTTCAGAGTCTCTGCTCTTTAGGCAGTCAGGATTTCTTATATCTATCTATATATCTATCTGTATCTCTCTCTCAGTGTGTTGATTTGACTGTAGAGGAGTATATTAGTGTGTTTAGAGAACAGTCGTATAGCTTTGTGTGTCAGATAGGGTTTCTGGGTTTCACAGCTTTGCACTCTGATGTGTTTTATTGCCCTTGCCACCACAGCTCAGTCTCTGTCATTGCTGGTGTTATTAGCTGTGTGAGCCACTTCTTTTCACTGCTGTGTGTATTTATGTGCATCTAGGGGAAACATAGTAGAACATAGAGAAAAGGCTGAGAGAGTAAAGACTCGTGGCTCTTCCTTCTGAAATGTTCAGCATGTTAATGGAAACAGTATAAATAGAGAGAAGTGTGTTTTTTTTTTTCTCCTCCATTTTTCTCCTCTGTGGACCCATACATTCGGAAAAAGCCTTGTTATGTTCTTTCCCAGCACAGCTGAAGAAACATTACCACAGAACAAGCTCAAGCTCAGCTTTGATTCAGGAGGACTTTGCTCTGTCCTTTAGGTCAGAAAATCACTTAAGTTTCTGATGTCTTTGCTTTGTCTTAGCATCCCTTCTCTGACACACACACACACACAGACATAAAAAAGCCACAGGGGTATGATTTTCTCAGGTGGTCGATGGCTCCCCTGGTTCCTGAGTAGTGTGGTTGTCATGGTAGCCAGTGAGTGAGGTAGTTTCAGAACAATCAAACAGAACGGCACAGCTGTGTGTGTGTACGCATGTGTGTGTGTGCGTGCACGTGCTACCTTTGATTCTGCCCATACCTCAGTAATCACAGAAATCCTTGTTTCAGTGCCTTTCTGAAACCTTTCAGTGTCTTTCAGTAGCTATTTAAATAAATGACCACAACCCCAATTATAATCATAAGGAACAATAATTCTCTCTATGTAAGATTTTAATTTAGTTTTATGTTTTTCTTAAGATTTTTTTTTCAAGCAGCTAGTAGCAAAGCTAATTGTTTTGTGTTGTTGTTCATGATTAATCACACATACTCAAATTTGACTTGAAGAAAGGTTTTTTTCCATTTAAAGAGCAGTGCATTGAAATTTTCAAATTTTCAAATTGGACTTGCTTCAAAAAAGCAAGTCCCATTTGGTTTTCCATGATACAGCTCCTTTAAAATGGAGTCTAATCTCTTTCAGCGTAAAGACACCTGTATGTAATTGCTGAAACAGAATAATGATAACATGGAATTTACACTTACAATGAAAAAGCGGTAGTTCACTGTGCTGTGTGAACATTATACAAATTACAAAATGCACCATCCACTCCCCTGTCCAAATATGTAAACTAAGCTGCAAAACAGCCTTTTTTTTAATTCATTGTCATTGTGGTGTCACAACCATGAGTACATTTACATGTGACCGTCCGTTCAGCCTACAGCAGTTTAGCCCACCCATTCACGTTATAATAAGGAGTGTTGTTACTGTAGACAGACTGTAGCAAGGTTGTTGGAGTAGAAGATGGAGCAGTAACTGTCTGTTTCTGCCAGTCAGGAAGGAAATGTATTATTGCAGCTTTCCAAAGAAAGGAGCCGCTGGAGTTTGTTATTTTTTCTGATGAACATGTAAACGTGAATGACTGTTTTGGTACATAAATCTTATAAGTGGATTTCAGGGCAAATATAAGAAAACTGTAGAATACGATAAACACTCTAGAGCTTTGTGGATACGACTTGTCCAGTGCAAGTCCCACTGCAGCAATTCCATCATGTCCTTGTGGTTGACCAGTGTGATAGCCTGCAGGAAACTGTGAAATAGTGGGATCCTATCACCTGCTTTTATATTTTCACAGGGACACTCCTGCTGCCAGTGAGAGTGGGAGCAAATCGGGCCGATCCAAAGCAACGTCACGATTTCCTCGGCTGGGCCGCAGCTCCGGTCGTGAGGCCCGCAACCCCGAGCCCCAGAGCGGCGACCTTTAACCTTCCATCCACAATAAAGAATGACAGAGCTATTGACTTCTGAACTGTGGAATTCATGTCGGAGGTAATTTGTCAGTGTGGAGGTAGGACAGGACAGCGGTCTCAAACCTCAGAACTCATCACTAGAACTGTATTAAGCTGACCACAGCAAACTTTTCTATAATGGGTGTATGCAGAGCCATCAATGGATAGCTGGGTCTAGAAACAGGGGTCCAACAGAGATGGGGAAGTTTTGCATACTTTTCTGTTCCTCTTTCATTTTTTGTGGTGGAGCTTTCTGTTACTATAGTGCCTCGTGTTTTCTAGCAGATGTTGTTTTTGGGGAAAAGCAGGATGTAATTCTGACAAAACATAAAACTTTGATGAAGCTGCACCCAGATTTGTGGCATCATCTTGAAATAACTTGCACATGGTCCTGTACTTAAGTCAACCAAAAAAAAAGTAGACACACCTTTTTTATGTGTTGTTACAGTGCTATACTGTTAGGCACAATGGTGGATTACAGTTATGCTTCACTGAATGCTTAATAGCTAAGCAAAAACAATCATCTTCTGTTTTTACACTGCTTAATTATTGTTCAGTGATGTATCAGGAATGTGTAGATTGTAGCTGAATGTTTGATGATGGCTAAAGCAGAAATTGAATATGCTGCTGAAGGAACTGCATGGAAAGTGATGGATTCTGCAGCCTGTCTGCTCATGCTTGTATTATACAATGGATCTGGAAGCCCTTGGTGTAAATTTCAAGAATCTGCCATTTTCTTTGATAACCCAAAATTTTATTACACACAGCCAAATGCACAGTGCACAGTGGGAAATGACGAGAATAATACGTCGATGGAGCTCTACTGCACGAATGAACAAAATCATGTTTTACTGTTTTAACTTGGAGCACAATGATGAACCTGTCTATACATGAATACTGTTTTCTTTAAACATATGACAAAGTTGCTTATCGACTGTTAATCTTATACTGTACATTGATATGAGAGAAATATACTAAAATTAGTACGTTGTTGAAATGCATTGTATATAGTGGCATTGTCATTTGCCTACATTAGCTTTCTGTTCACCCATCAGTACCTGTTGCCATAACACAGCAGCTCAATACTGTAGATCAGCCTTTTGTAATTCACCACTACTAAGCAGACCATCCAATGAATGTTTTCCCTCATATCAAACTGCTTCTGTACTCAGTTGGTATAACAGATAACAGCTGTTTTGCAGTGGCATGGTCGCCAGCCTTAAACCAGTAAAAAAAGCAAAATGAATACATGAATAAATAAGTAAAACAAAGCCTGGCTATACTGTGTCAACTCTGGGGACCTTTTGGACTTGGACTTGCTGCAAGTAAGTATATGATGTCATGTGATGACATTTCTGTCTACTTAAAATGCCAACTTTATTTCTAGAAACAATTTAAATGTACCTGAAGTAAGAAAAAAGTCAAGGCCTCTATTTGTATGCAGTCTTTTAACCAACGTAATGTTTAAATAAATAATTTGTGGTGGAATGTTTTGGGTTGAGCCTGGTAAAATGTTTAGATGAGAAAATGCACACGACTCACCGTAATCTAATATTTAAAAGCATCCTCTTCACTTTTAGGTGCTTTCCATGTACTGTTGGGTAATAAACTACATGTAATCTGGATTATGTTAGCTGACAAAAACCATGTACTTGTAATCAGTGTTGGATGCCTCTTGCGTTGCATTTCTATGGGTTGCTGTTTTTAAGGATGTTTTTGATTAGGCAACTGCAGTAAATCAGTCTTTTAATTCTTCATCTATGGAGCGTGCCCATAAGCATATGCATAAAAGCCACGTCTCTGTGACTGACAACTGCTTATCAGAAAGAAGGGAGAGGTTATCACATCTCAATCCTGTGATGTTTTGAACTATGAAATCAGTTACCTGATTAGAAAATCAAATAAAGCAGTTAGATCAGAAATTCTCCAGAGGTAATCTAGACTTTTTATCTAAAAATTAATCACTGATTACATTTTTTGTATTTTATACTCTGTACTAGATTACATTTCATAAGTAATCTACCAAACACTGTCTCCATTAGGCTTCAGAAAGTCCAGCGCAAATGCACTGATTTATCAAAGTAAAAACTGAAGCATTTTTGCCTTTGGTTTGAAACCTTTTTCCAACAGTGAAGTCGTTAAGTATTATACTTGTATTTAGCAGCTTTTTTTTCTTATTACCTTAATAAAGTAAGAAAGGTCAAGGCAAGGTCTCCAAATCAAATATGTTCAGAAAAACAGAGCTATGCTTATCTGCTGCAGTTCCATGTTGCTTTTTCTGCTGTGTCCTAAACTTTGAATTATGTTTGTCAGATAATGAGATTAGGAGGGCTAGGGAAAGTTATCCATAACATCTCTAAATCTCTCAGAGTCAGTTGTACCCATAAAAAAATAACATTCAATGGCCTGAAGATATTATCTTATTTAACTGTTTACACATGTTTACCATGATATGATATGAAGCTAATGCCAGTCATTAGATTCAGTCAAAACAGTGCCAAATAAACGGCGTGGCAGTTCAGACGGTGTTTATGAAAAGAGTTCTCATTGTCAGTTGACCAGAAAATGTGGACATGTTCAGTTAGGAGTGGATGACTGTTCTTGGCAGTTGTGTATCTACAGTCAAGCATGCACAGGCCAGACGCACTTTCGTACATCAGCACCTTCATGTAACATCAGCTGTATTCAAGGTTGGAAATCTGTCAGCAAGGCAATCTTCTAACAGACTCACACTTGTTGCACTTGTGATCTTGCCAAATACATTATAAATGTTGCTGTCAAAGTTGCCAGCTTAGGCCCAGGTCTAGTTCTTCTCTGGCTTACCTGCCTCTATCCAACTATTTACAGGCACATCTGCATCTTTAGGCCAAAATGCTAATTCATACAGTACATTTAGCGTATTTCTTTTGTGCAACTGAATATGATTTCCATGCATTGTCCTTTGTCTACAGGGCACAAGCGGCAAAGCTGACCTTACTTAATACAAGGTTGTTGTATAATTAGCTTCTTAAGTAGTGGCAATATGAATATAACAAAAAGAAAGCCTTAGCTGGATACAATTGGATGACGAGACACCGGCAACCAGGGAACAGACAAATACGAAACAAAGACTCAATTTAAAAGGATTCATGTTTAATAGGACGGTTGCCAGCTCCTTAGGTCAGGTCTTTCAGAAAATGTAGGTCAATAATTGGACCATTTCAGCGAGAAAACTCAGACCCGTCTAAATTACCCACAAACAAACTGAACTTAGATCACTTCCTGGGCTACTAGAGGCTGTGTGTTAGAGTGATTTTGTTGTGGTTAAAAGACCTAAGTACACAGACAGGAAAAACATGCACAAACCGAAACATCCAGTTGGTGTACTCTATACCCATTTTTGTATGTTGAAAGACTCTAGCACAGGAATGCGGGAAGGTGTTTAAAGTTGGGAATTTAAATTTGAAATTTTAAGCAGTATATATGTAACGTGACCGATGACATCATGCAAAATGATTTGTCCGTCTGTCTAACACATCAAAACACCGTTCTCTTGTTCTCATTGTAATGAAAATATGATGTTCACTTAACGGAGCATGACTACTACAGATTTTGAAAACTATAAAATACTAACTCCATTCTAAAACAAGAACACATGGGGTTTTACTGCTCTCAAATTATTATAAAGTTCAGAATGTTTTATTATTGTTAGAAATTGCAGTCTTGAAATCAGGGGTTGCTGCAACACACTCAGCACCCCACTTCCTGCATCCTTTCTCTAAAATGTTTTCCCCTAACCCCCTGACTGTGGTGAAATCACTGTAAAGCATCACCATACATAGCTAATTGATTTTGTAAAACGACAGCAAACAACAACATACAGTGTAATAAAATACAATAGAATAAAATACAATGTTCAATAAATAATCATTTAGAGTAAAGATGATTTCATGATTTCCAAAAAAGTCAGGACACTTTGCAAAGTATAAATAAATATGGAATGCAATGAGGTGCAAATCATTTAAACTCTGTGTTTAATTGAACATAGTACAAAGATATCATATCAAATGTTATGATATGATCATATGAATCTGATGAAATGTTATGAAATTGTATTGCCCATTCTGAACATGATTCCAGCAGCACATTGCAAAAAAGTTGGGACAGCGTCAACAAAAGAATGATTAAGTTGTGTAATGCTAAACAAACACCTGGTGGAACATCTCCCAACTAATTAGGTTAATTGGCAACAGATCAGTAACATGATTGGGTATAAAAAGAGCATCCTAGAGAGGCAGCCAAACAAACAAAATCACCCAGTACATTCAGAAACAAATAATTTTACTGTTTTTTTTTTACCTAAACTTGAAACAAAGATGATGGTGGAAGGCAACATTATCCAAAATAATGGCAAACCCTAGGCCTAAGTATTTGTCAGTAGAAGGATAACTACACATATATAATACAAACCATACTGAACTAAGTAAATTTTACACAAAACAGTTTAATCAATCATGGTTTATCCACAACAGAAAGTGGAAGAATGATCCAACCCAAATGTAAGTTGACACACTGCAGTATCCATTGTGCATTTAAAACAATTGTAATAAGTAAGTCTAACATTACATAAATACTCTAATTCTAGATACTCTGGCTTGTGGTTTGTCATAGAATTTGACACAATGATTCTTTTCACATGTTTTTGGAATATCGCAGGTGAACTTTTAATTATTTTTTATGTGTAGTAAATATCTCTAGGATCTTAATCTGTTTACAACATATTTTGTCAAATTACCTACCTTGATTTGACCTCCACTTTTCAAATATGAGGTATTTTGGATGTGCAATTTATTACAACATCTTTTTGAGTGATGGAGAGTGTTCATTATTCTGGACACATCAAACATTTATAACTAATTATCTGAAAGTTATGAAATTACACAGGACTAGAATACTGTAATTAATTTTATACATTTATCTTAAACCAAACTGGCTTTATCTTGCTTAAAATATTCTATAATATATAATTCCAAACTTTTGAACAGTAATGTATGTGAACATTTAATTACATTTATGTTGACCAAATGTAATGTACTTTGCAAATATTGTTGTTTCAACAGAAAGTACTGTTCACACTTTGGTCCACACAGTCCATATATGGAAAGTAAGCTGTAAAACACTGTTTTAAATTCATTATGGTAGTGATGTCATAACTATGAACATATTTAAATATGACCATCTGTTCATATTGAAGTGATACTGCAGATAGTGGGTAGTAGGTATTATAGCATAAGGGCATTAATGGTTGTGCTGATCCTGGCTGAGGCAAATGTGATGCAGCCTGCCAAAGGATCCGGACATCTTAACGTCTATTTTGCAAGGTCGAAGGTTAACGTTTATTTTTTTTCTGACATTCCTGAGGATTTTATCCCACGTTGCTTTTGGAGTGTAGTGCCTCATTTGGTAGAGATCAACCAATCAGTACGAAGTTCATTTACACATATCAATCAGTTTCAAAGACACTTAAGCAAAACAGTTTGATTAATTCTAAGGGATCAAGAGATGTTGGTAAATGTTCGTGTAAAAATATAGTGCAACTGTTTTTGGGTACATAAAAGCACACAAATGTTCT